TCTTTGGGGATGTGAGAAGGGGGAAGAGGAGGAGGAGGCGGAGGAGGAGGACGATGCGGAGGAGGAGGAGGAGGAGGAGGAGGAGAAAGAGGAGGAAGGATCAGAACGGAGGAGGAGTAGGAGGAAGAGGAGGAGGAGGAGGAAGAGGAGGCAGGAAGGAAGGACGGAACGGACGAGGACAAGCAGGACGAGGAGGCGGCCCTTGCAGATATGTTGTTGTGACGGGTGCTCGGAGGTCGCTGGAGCCATCTTGGGGCTTTCTTGGGGTCTCCTCGGGGCCTCTTTGGGCACGCTTGGGTCACTCTTCGGGCTCTTTCGGGGGGTCTTGGAGCCCGCCTGGGGCTCTTTGGGGTCGTCTGGGAGGCCTCGTGAGTCCATCTTGGGCCTCATTGTTTAAGCAGAGGGGTTCTTCAATTCAGCCCCCCCTTCCCCCTCGAAGGCAGAAGAATTATCTCTCGGAGCTCTCTCATGGCGCTCGTGGGGCGCTCTTGGGCGCTCTTGAGGCTGTCTTGGGGCCCTCTTGGGCCCCTCTTGGGGCTCTCTTGGGCCATCTTAGGGACGTCATGAGGCCTCAAAAGCCCAGCGGAAGCCAACTGGCGAAACTGCGAAACATACTGATGTTCACTAGGTTTTTGAAGGGTTTTGTCCTCTTGGGGGGGGCCTCGGAGGCTCGGAGAGGACTTGGAACAATCTTGGAGCGGTCTTGGAGCCTCTGGGAGGTATGCCGGACGCTATCTTGAGGTGGCTTGAGCCATTTTGAAGGCCATTTTGCAGCATCTGGGGCGCTCTCGGAGGGCCCTCTGCCACCTAGTCCCCTCCCCCCCCCTCTCGTCCAGGCCCAGGGGGCAGGGGGAGGGGTCCAGACACCTCCTGCCCACAAGGCGCAAGCCGTCTCGCTCACTCCCCCGCTCCCTCCCTACGTTTGGCAGGGATGGTTGGCCTGCGTCCAGCAAGCAATAAAATGCCCCCCCCGCCGTCCCTGCCAAAAACCCAGCAAGGTGGTCGTGAGGCCCCTGCGCATGCTTCAGATGTAGATGAAAATTGTATTGTTAATTGTTTTTGACAGGGGTGGTTGGGGGGGGTGTCATGGGTTCGGGGTTCGTTGCCGGTTGGGTGGGGGAGGGGATGTTTATGAATAGGGAGCAGTGATAAACGCCTTCCCCGAGCAAAGGAGGGAGGGTTTTTTGTCAGAGGGAAGAAAAACGATTCGTCATACGACCTTCGCCCAGAGGGCTGGTGGCATTCTGCGTTACTCGTCACGTCTAGTACTCGACGCGTAGATCGTGATAGGTGCATCTAATTTCTTGGTACGTCCCGCTGTGAGTTCTGGCCGCGAGTGTCTGGGTGTGAGAGCGAGTTCGAGCGGACGACGAGTGCGACGACGACGACGACGCCGACTTCAGCGGCTACGATGAAGGACACCAGCCACGAGAACTCACAGATAGACAGGCGGTTATCAGGCCCCTCCCTTCCCCTTCCTCTCACTACTCGTCGTACCCCTTTACCTTCTTCCTCTCTCCTCTCGTCTCCCTCTTCCTGCGTCCTCCCTCCTCCGTCCTGGCGGCCGTCCTTCTCCCTATATCCAAGTGACCATGGGACACTGGATGGACAGGAGTCGGAGGTGCAGAACCGAGCGCCTCGCTGGATACATCCCCATGGTCTGGCTGGCTGGGGTGGTGAAGCCGGCGCCTCGCTCGAGACACCCTCCCGACCTGCTTCGAGAGCGCCGACGCCCAGGCCACCAGCAAGCGGGCAAAAGCTGCCGGAGACGGCCCCACAATCTGGGCGCGACCGGGCTCGTGCCACCACACCCTGGCGGCCGCCCCCCTTGGGGGCACCATCCCCCGCAAGATCCGGGCGCGCACGGGCTCGCGCAGCATCTCCCTGCCGGCTCTCCTCTGTGACGCTGCCGGCTCGGCGCGTCGCTGGAGACACACCCTCACGACGTGTTCCGAGAGCAGGGGAGGCTGGGCCACGGCCAGAAAACGTCAGAAGCGTCCCCACAAGCTGGGCGCGAGGAGGCCCGCGCAAACGCCCCCTGGCGGCTTCCCCTTTGGGGTGCGGAAGCCGGCGCGTCGCCCGGGAGACGTCCCCGCAGTTCTGCTCTGAGAGCAGAGGCGTCTGGGCCTCCGAGCAGGCCGCCCGCCCGAAACATCCCCGGAATCCAGGCGCGAACGGGGCCCGTGCAGCATCCCATGGGCGGCTAAAACGATGCGAAGATCGGGACAAAATCGGATCGGGATAACTCGAAATCTCTGAGAATCGGCGGGTTTGGAGGATGTATTGGGCGCCGCGGCCGCTCCAGGGCGTTCCGGAACGCTCTGAGAGCGCTCCGGAACGCTCTGGAGCGATTTATCCCGATCCTAGCCCTGTTTTATGGCTTCCCTCGGGGTGCTGAAGCCAGCGCGTCGCTCGAGGCATATCCTCACAAGTTGGGTATGAGATGCGAGCCTGAGTGCCAGTGGTCCGTGGGAGTGAGTCTGGGTGTGAGCCAGTGACTCGCAGTGTGTTTGAGCCTGAGATCGAGGCGTGTGACTCGGTGTGAGTATACCTGAGCCTGGGCGTGTCTCAACATGCGTTAACCTCCGAGACTACGAGCGGACCTGATTATGGAGCCTGAGTTTGCGCGAACCTGAGTGCGGGTGTGAGCGTGAGTCGACTCGCCCAGGTCGAGCGAGTCAGAGGACCCCGCCTACTCCTGCCTCCCTCCCAGAACATGAGAATCAATTCTGGCACAGCCCGATCTTGAGATCGGAGCGTGTTCCCACCTCGCGAACGGACGGCGCTCGCGCGCGGCCCGGCTTCCGAGGACTTGGGCGGTTTGGAGAACGGCGCGGGCCGCGCATGGGGCGGGAGCGACAAACCCTCCGAGGAGCCCGGCGAAGGCGAAGCATTGCGTCGCCTTGGCACAGCACAGCCCCTTGCACTCACAGCCCGCGTGGCGCTCGGGCGAGGTCGGCATGTCGCCCGCCCTCGCGCGGCCCCGCTGCCGCTGTCGTGCTCGTGGGGCTCGGCGAGCGAGCGGCGCGCCGCGCCCGCGTGGGAGCGCCCCTTCCGAGCGACGTGCGCGCGGAGCTCGGGCGAACGCGGCAGGCCGCCTGCTCGCGCGGGGCCCCGGACACTGGCGAGTGAGGTAGATGCGCCGCGCCGAGGCGGGAGCGGCACCTTCGGGCGAAGTCCGCGCGGCGCCGAGGGACGGCTGCGATCTCGTCCGCTCGCGTGTTGACGAGTGGCTCGCGAGGAGCGTGCGCGCACGCCCCCGGGGGGGGAATGCCAGCTCCGTGGAGCAACTGCGCGCGGCGCCGAGGCGCGAGCGACATTCCTGCCTTTCGTGCGGGATGTGCGCCCGGGGCGCTTTCTCTCTCGGCCGGGCCGATTTGAACCAAGTTCCAGGGTTCCGATTCGATTCGATTCGATGCTGGCGTTCCGAGGCACGATTCTCCGATTTCGACCTCGCCCGATGCGGCGCGGTGCCGGTTCGAGCGAAACGGGCGACGACGATGGCGGCGACCAGGGGCCTCGATGGGGCCCTAGTGAGGCCCTGTGGAGGGGCTCGCGCCCGTAGCTTTTCCGACGAGTGCTGGTCGCGCCCTGGGACGTCGCGGGGCCGGAGGGGCCGTCCCGGGCCATCTCGGGGGCCGAGGAGGCCCCGAGAGGCCTCGAGGGCCCCGGGGGGCCTCGATGGGGCTCCGAAGGAGCGAGGGAGGCCCCGAAGCGCCAGCCCGCACCCTCCGGGAGTGCCGTTCCGCGCCGTGGCTTCCAGAGGCCGCGGCCGCCTGGGGCCGCAGGCCTGGCCGCGCAGCCCTCCAAGCGCGCCCCCTGCGCAGGCTTCCCCGGGCGCCCTGCGCAGGCCACGGGGCTCCGAGCAGGGGGCCTCCAGGGGGGCCCCAGGGGGGCCCCCACGCGGCCCCCAAGGGGCTGCGCACGGGGGGCCCCCCACGGGGCTTCGGAGGGGGGGCCCCGGGGCCGGGGACGATCGACGCCGACGACGTCCGACGACGCGCGAGACGACGCGTGCCGCGAGGGGGAAGAAGACGCGAAGGACGACGCGTACGACGACGTGCGGCGAAAGCGTGCTTACGACGACGTGCGGCGACCGCCCACGACGACGTACGACGACGCCTACGGCCACGAAAGTCGGGCCAGTCACCTCCTGCCCCTTCTGCCTTGTCCCCCCCTCCTTCCGATTTCGATTCCGATCAGGCTTAACGCGATCCTGTTTCCGATTCGACCCGGTTCGGATTTGCCCTTTCTTGCCGATGCGATGGCGCAACCGATTTTCAGCCAGTGCGTGCCGATTCGACGCTCGCGCCCATTCGATTCGATTGATCGACCCGATGCTGGGACCGCCTTTTCCATTTCCGCCACGCATTTTGCAACGTGAACTAACATCCATGTTGAAAGCAAACATGTAATCTTGGCACTTGTTACATGTGGGATGGAACACCACCTGGATACGGTTGCTGTCGGCTGGGTAGGTGGCAGAGATTGGGTGAGTGAGCCTGGGCATGAGTGAGCTGAGTGTGAGGAAGGAGGTGAGGAGGCTGAGACGTCCCAGTAAAATCAAAAATCCTTTGTTGGAGACTGGGAATGGTACTCTACTCTTACGCGCTCCCACCCGCCGCCCGCCCGTCCGCCAGCGCGTCCGCCCGCACGCCCGCCCGCCCGCGCGCCCGCCCGCCCGCCCGCCCGCTCGGCCGCCCGCACGCTCAGACTCCCGCCCACTGGCCCGCCCGCGCGGCCGCCCGCCCGACAGCCAGCCCAGCCGCCCGCCCTGCGCCGCCCCGCCTGCCGGCTGAAGCCGCGCGAAAAGATCGGCCATATTTGTCTTCTTTGTGAGAGCCCAGATATTTTTCAGGTGACCCTCCACCCGCAAGAGCCGCCCGAGAGACCCCCAGACGGCCCGAGGGGGATCCGTAGCCCTCCCGCCTCGAGAGCACCCCGCCGCGCCCGGCCCGCGGCCCGCGCGGGGGGGGTGTCTCTCCAGGCCGCGCTCGCCGATGGAGTCAGCGGACGCCGCCAGCGACCCTCTGGTCGGCGAGGCGAAGGCCGAGGGCGGCACCGACAACGACGACCCCGCGGCTGGGGTCTGCTCGCGGCGCCCCGGCTGCATCGGCTGCTGCACCGCCTGCTGCCTGCTCACGGTCATCGCCGTGGCGAACTACTTCGTGTACGTGTACTCCTTCATCGGCCCCGCATTCCATGGAGACGTCGATTCGTTCCGGACGGAGGCGTTCCTCGAGCTGGATGCCGAGAGGCGGGCGGCGGCGGAGGGCACTGGTCTGCTGACCGCCGACAGCGATCCCAGCGCCTTTGCCTTCGGCCTCAACGTTGGCCTGAACGCCTTCTTCCCCAACTTCAACTTTGTCCAGGGTTTCCCACAGCCTGGACTCGGGAACGCCATCGCCAGGGCTTATAGGAGGCTCTTCGGCATAGAGGACCCACGGTGGCGCCCCCCTGTGAAGGATGAGCCGACGGGGATCGTCACGTACAACGAGTACGCCAAAACCCACTTCGGTAAGGAGTTCCCCTACCCGTTCTTCGACAGCTTCTACACTGGCAACTCGATCCCCTCCTGGGAGGACAACGCAGCCCACGCGCGAGGGGTGAGCCTGATAGATGCCAGCGTGAAGGCGCAGCGCGCGGTGGGCGTGGAGCCCATCGATTTGATGCTAGAGATGGAGCCGCGGTTCGCGTTCGACCATCGGGCGCTGATGAAGGCGGCCTGGGACGGCTTTCGATACATGGGGCCCCTCGACATCGAGTATGCCAGCAATGGTTTCTACGGGGTGGCCGTGGTGGAGGAGCTGATGCGGAAGTACAACACGAGCGGGGAGGTCTTAAGCGTGCTCATGACTGACTCCGTCTTCTCAGCCCACCTTGTGCAGGATGCGGACACGCCAGGCCAGTTCAGCGTCGACCTCGCCTCCATGGAGAAGTACAAGCCGCTTGATGGCTACGCGCCGATGGGGGGCTCGGCCACCTTCGTGGAGGATCAGGGCCGGCTCCGCACCACGAAACTCGTGTATGGAGGCGAAACCTATACAGAGTTCGATGTGCCAGAGGTGGAGGCCGATTACACAAAGTCCACGCGGAGCGGCTGGCGCTTCGCGGAGGCGGCGATCATCTCTTCCCTGCTCGCAGTAACCAACCTGGTGACGCACGTCAAGGACCTCCACCTCGAGCTCGCGGCAGCATTCCAGGCTGTGACCGTCACCGCCTTCGCGGCCGAGCCCGAGCACCCGGTGAGGAGGCTGCTGGACCCGTTCATCCATCGCAGCATCCAGGCCACCAACGACAACTTCAAGCTGCTCTTCGAGTACCACGCCGCGGTCTTCTCGCTGGCACCCCTGCCGGCCGACGAGCAGCTGAAGCTCATCGACGAAGCGATCAGAGATAGCCCGATCAGCCTCGACGAGCTCGACCTGAAGAACTTCGCCGCCAAGCGGAACATCGGGCAGGAGTACTCCACCAAGGCCGCGATGGAGAACTCCACGAAGTGGGGCTGGCGATGGCACTACCGCGCCCTGACAGTGCAGCAGCTGTACGAGAAGCTGATCGACTGCTGGCTGGCGGCCAGCTACGACGGCCTCGAGGGCGAGGCGCTCGACGCGAGGCTGGCGGACGACGGTGTGCTGCAGGCCTGGTGGCAGAGCATGCAGGCCCACCTGCCGTCCTTGAAGCGCGCTGTCGACAAGAACTCCGCGTGGGCCGGCAGCCCCGGGTCGAACCTCACGGCGTCGGCGCTCCAGCGTGCGGCCAGCACGCTCATGGTTTGGCTCTCGTGGATCCACGAGGACGTCGGCCACTCGGCCGCCTCGCTGGTGTACAACCCGGTCTACACGCCGATGTGTGTGCCCGAGGACGGCGTGGGTGTCCCGTTGAGGTCGTGGGTGTTCAACGCCGGGGCCTACCGCGGGTTCGTGTTCCTGCACAGGTCCACGCTGCTGCAGGAGCCGCCCGACTTCTGGTTCCAGGGCAGTGCGGCCTGCCGCCAGTGCTTCGCGGACCTGCAGAAGTCGATGATACGGCTTGGCCTGGAGGACCCCGCTTTCAGCGAGTGCGATGAGACTGGTTTCTACTCCTGTGTCGGCAGAGTTGAGACTGCTGTGTCGAGCTGATTCGAGACGGTGAGCGATATGCTTGGCTTCTTGCTGCAGGTCTGCAGTGTCAAGGCCCCGCATCCAAGTAATCTTAGAATTGATGGCCTGTGAACCGCCTCCGCCACCGGGAACAGACCAGCATTAAGCGGGGCTTGGGAGTTCCCGCAGCTTACGCTGCTGTGTGTGAGCAGAGGCCTTGGGTTTCCCTCAGATCGTGTGGACGATGGCTCCGCAGGGGGCTGCATGGGGCCCAAGTGACGGGCTCCACTGAAGGTTCGATGTGGTACCGCATTGGATTACTGACGGTGCGATGTGTGGTCGACTCAGGTACTGAGAAATATCGTGCGACATGTTGGCGAGGAGCCAGGTGGGTCGCACACCAGACATTTGTCGGCGAACGTGGAGGGCAGATACGAGTCCATCTGAGGGCATGTTGTTGTTCGGAGTTGATGGATGTGCGAATGGGTGCTCTGGGCTGCCTACTTCCGCGCAAAGCTTCTGGCAATCCTCTTTTTCTCGGCTTTTTATGTTCCTCGTGCGTGTCCCAAAGCGGTTGCGCAGCTTGTCAGATGTGCAGAGACGCCCCTCCCCCCGGGGGGCACAGGGGGAAGGAAGAGAGAGAGGGAGAGAGAGGGAGAGGAAGAGGAGAGGGAGGAGACGAAGGACTAGCAGGAGCAAGCCTCTCGGGCACGCCAGGCCAAGGCTCCCGATTGCAGCCCGTGCCCGCGTGAGCTTGAAAAGAGGGGGCCGGGCGAGCGTCGAGGACGCGGGCGCTGCTCGAGCTCGGCCTGCTGGCCGACGCGCTCCGCGCTGGGCGGTCCTCAGTGCTGCTGGGCTGCTGCCGTTGCCGCCGCCGCAGGATGGCGGCGAGGAGGGGGAGGATCGAGGAGGATCGAAGAGGAGGAGGAGGAGGAGGAGGAGGAGGAGGAGGAGGAGGAGGAGGAGGAGGAGGAGGGAGGAGGAGGAGGAGGAGGAGGAGGAGAGGAGGAGGCGGAGGCGGAGAGGCCGAGGCGGAGGCGGAGGCGGATGATGATGATGATGATGATGATGAGAAGGAGGAGGAAGAAGAGGAAGAGGAGGAGGCGGAGGAGGAGGAGGAGGAGGAGAGGGGAGGAGGAGGAGGAGGAGGAGGAGAGGAGGAGAGGAGGAGGGAGGAGGAGGAGGAGGAGGCGAGAGGGGAGGAGGAGGCGGAGGCGGAGGATGAGATGAGGAGGAGCAATAGGGAGGAGGAGGAGGAGGAGGAGGAGGAGGAGGAGGAGGAGGAGGAGGAGGAGGAGGGAGGAGGAGGAGGAGGAGGAGGAGGAGGAGGAGGAGGAGGAGGAGGGGGAGGAGGACCGAGGATCCGGCAGAGCTGAGCTGGTACGAGGATGAAGAACAGCGCTCATGGCCATCAGCATCCCGGCCCCGAAAGGTCCATGGTCGAGCTGGACCCAGGCTTCGCGGAGGCCCGGTACCAGCTGGCGCTCGTGCTCGCCCGCATGGGCAACGGTACGGACGGCGTATGGGCGCGAAGTCGATTCTGACAACATTTTTGCTGTCAGCACTTTCAGAAGATTTCTTTCAGTGTGTGCGTGTGCGTGAGCGTGAAAGTTGGATGAAGCATCTTCTCAGTGTCTCTGCTCTACTTCTACTTCTCTCCGCTGGCTGTAACCCACTGGCGCGCCGGAGGAGAAAGTGTGTTTGTGTAAGTATGTTATGTTTGTGTGTGTGTGTGTTGTGTGTGTGTGTGGTGTGTGTGTGTGTGTGTGTGTGTGTGTGTGTGCGCGCTTGCGTGTGCATGTGCGTTTGCGTGTGCGTGTTTGTGTGCGAGTGCTTGTCTGATTGTTTGTTTGTTTGTTTGGTTTGCGTGTGTGTATGTGTGTGTGTATGTGTGTGTAAGGTGGGATAGTGTCGTGTCCGCGTCCCGCCTTGGTTTCATTACCGCTGCTTGCAAACCATCGCCGCGTCGGGGGAGCAAGGGTCTGCGCGTGAGTGCGTGTGCGCATCTCTCGGAGGCGGAAGCGCCTCCGTCGCTGTTGGAAGCGTGTTTGTTCCCTCCTGCAGTCGGCCCGTATCATAAGGAAGTGCGATCAAGGATGCAAGAGCCTTGGACGCCCATTCCGAAGCTGTTCGGGCGCGGCGCGGCGAACGAAACTGGCCAAGGATGGACCGAGGAGGCAAGGATGCGAGGGTATCCTCGGGAATGTTGCCCATCCCTACCATGCGGGTTGACTGTGCTGCTCCTCCTCCTCCGCCAGACCCCGATTCCGTCAGTCCTCTGCCAGCGCCAGCAGTGCGTCTGCATCACAAGCAGACGTAGTCGCCTCGCGACGTGCAGCACACGCTCTACCCTCTAGGTAGAGGCGCTAGGCCCGAGCACGCACCTGGCAGAGCCCGACTCATTTGCCCTCTTCGCGTTCGTGCTCGTGTCCGCCTGCCCTCTTCCTCTCTTCAGGGTGCCCCTCCTCCGGACCCCGACATCGTTCGGCCTCGCTCCCCGGGTCCCTGCCGGGATCTGCGCCGGCCGGCTCTCCCTCCCGCGCCGACGACTCTCTGACGCCACTCCCGGGGCTCCAGCCGCGCCCCGAGCGGCCGAGATCGTGGAACACAGAGCTTCTCATTTTCTCTCTTTATATCTCCTCCTCCTCCTCCTCCTCCTCCTCCTCCTCCTTCTCCTCTCAAGTCCTTGCGGCTCCGCGATCCGAGATCGGGGAGCTGGCCGCACGGGCGCGCGCGCACCGGCGGGGGTGGTTCAAGCCAGGGCTCGAACCTGACCTCGCCTCGCGACTTGAGGGGGAGCAAGGCTGCCGAATAAGTCGCGTCGGGACTATCACAAGCTACGGGCAACATTTCCGTCTGTATGGTTGGTGTCTTCGTCCACGTTTTTTCCATCTTTTGGTGAGTGCAGTGGGTTGTGCATCAATCAAGGTTGTGGGTGCATTTTCAATTCTGTTTGGGCTTTAGTGGCTTCAACTACACTGCTGCAATCTCCCACGCCGCAGCGGGAATGGAATTCAATTCTTGTTTGTTTGTTGGTGGCGCCCCTTGCGGCCTTTCAAGTTTTCTTCAAGGCTTGCTGGTGGTCAGTACATCTATCAAACAACTCGGCCGTGGGTGGAGTCATCAGTTCTGTTTGGGCGCCTCAGTGGCCTCGTCACCTACAGTGCCGCACTCCCACAGCCGTCAAGGGAGTGTCTGTCAATTCAAGTTTGTCTGGTTGGTGGCGTCCATCACGGCGTGTCGATTACCGTCTTGCTGGTGGTCGTTGCATCAATCAAACAATTCGGCCGTGGGTATTGTCTGCAGTTCTGTTTGGGCTCTAGGCCTCGTCAGCTACTGTATTGCAGTCTCCCACAGCCGTACGGGGAGTGTATCTCACTAATTTTTGGCAATCTGGTGTTGCTTGTTTCGGTTATTCAAGTGGCATGAGTTCGCATGCGTTTTGTGCAAACTGTGGTTGATCGGCGTTCCGAGGTGTGTGCGTTGCTGATTTTGGCATGAGCGTGGGTTGAATTAGGCCGTGCTGGTGGGCATCAAGGACAACGCGGTTCCGCAGGATTTCGGCATGCCCCGTCTCGTTCCGCCACTGCAGGTTGCCAGTTCCACCCCCGCTTGCTTTCGGTGGGGAGTGTGCGACGACAGGCGTTCGTCAGGCTGCCAGAGGCTATGGTCAGGGAGCTGTTCCTCTAAGGCCACAGGGGGTCACGGCGGCATCGTCGACCGTGGACGCCCGTGCATCCTCGATCCTCGATCCTCCTCTTCCTCCTCCTCCTCCTCTTCCTCCTCTTCCTCCCTCTATACATATCCTCTCTCTCTATATCTGTCCTCCTCCTTCCTCTCTATATATCCTCTCTCTATGTCCTCCTGCTGCTGCTCCTCCCTGTCCTCTTGCGAATACCGCCCCCTGACCTGTCCTGGAGTGCGCTTTGGCCAGCCTTTCTCCAGGCCGCGTAGATCTCGGATCGGAACAGATAGGGTCGGGGGATCGCGCAGCATCGTCGATGCATCGGCGATGCGGCTGGATGGTTGGTCAGCCCGACGTTCTGCACGCCGACGTGGCCGATGCATCGCCGATGCATCGCCGATGCATCGGCAGTGCATCGGCGAAGCGGCTTGATCCTCCGAACCCATCTCTGCCTGGACGCCATTCTGGAGTCTTCAGACTTCGAGGACTCTCCCCCTCTCCCCCTCTCGCTCCTCGGCTCCTCCCTCTCCCGTCGGTCCCCTGCTCCCCTGCCCTGCCCTCGCTTCTCAGTCGGCCCGTCCTTGTGGTCCGCATGAGAGGAGTGGTCCTGTAGTTCACGCTCGTGCTCACGCCTACGCGCCGCTTGGTGCATGGCTTGCCTGCCTGTCTCTCTCCGCCCCCAGCAGGAGGCGCTCGAGCAGCTCGACCAGGCCCTCCAGCTGGAGCCCCGCCACTTCGGGGCCCTGGCGGCCAAGGGCAAGCTCCTGGCCGCGGCGGGTTCGCGCGGCGAGGCAGGCTGGGCACACACTTCTGCGGCTCAACCTTCGCGTCTCCACTGTCTTGCTCCCCCCCCTCTCCTCCCTCTGTCCTCCCCTCCCTTCTCTCTCTCTTCTCTCCTCCCGCCTTCCGCCTCCTCACCTCCCTCTCCTCCCTTCTCCCCCTTTCTTTCCTCCATTCCAAGCGGAGAATAGTTTCTGCTTCCTCCCTTCCTTCTCCTCCTCCTCCTCCTCCACCTCCTCCCCCTTCCGCCTCCCGTGACGTCTCCTCCTTCCCGCTCCGCCTCCTCCCCTCCTCACGTCTTCTCCCCCTGAACGGGGGAGGAAGATGATGACCAGGAGGGAGCCGGAAGGAGGGAGAGAGGAGGGAATGGAAAGGACGGGTGAGGAGGGGAGAGGAAAGGGGGCGAGGAAGAGGAGGATGATGATGATGAGGAGGAGGAGGAGAAGGAAGAGAAAGAGGAGGAGAAGCACAACTAATGAGGAGGATCATTGGGACGAGGGTGATGGTGGCGACCATAACAGCGAGATCGACGATGACAGTTTTGATGGCAAAGTATGATGACGGTGGTGACGATGACTAGGATGATGAGGTTGAGTTTGAGGATGTGGGTGATACTGATCATGATACGGTTGTTGCTGTTGCTGTTGTTGTTGTTGTTGTTGTTGTTGTTGTTGTTGTTGTTGTTGTTACTGTTGTTGTTACTGCTTTTGCTGTTGCTGTTGTTGTTGTTGTTGTTGTTGCTGTCGTTGTCGTTGTCGTTGTTGCTGTGGTTGTGGTTTTTGTTGCTGTTGTTGTAGGTACTGTTGTTTTTGCGGTTGTTGTTACTGCTGTGGTTGTTGGCGATTATGTTGATGATGGTGATGGTGATGTTCATGCTTACGACTTTGACCATGCTGATGATGGTGATAATGATGATGATGATGATGATGATGATGATGATGATGCGGCTGATGATGCTGCTGCTGATGATGCAGATGATGAGCCTGCTGCTGCTGATGCGGCTGCTGCTGATGATGATGTTGATGATGCTGATGGTGACGATGCTGAGATTATGATTGTGATGATGAGGATGATGATGGTGGTGGTCATGCTGCTGCTACTGCTGCTGCTGATGAGGATGATTATGATGATGATGCTGCGGAGGCTGATGATGTTTACGATTATTACCATGATGATGCTGATGATGATGCTGATGATGCTGCTGATGATAATGACGATTTTGATGATGATGCTGATGCTGATGATGAAGACGAGGATGATGCTGCTGATGCTGATGCTGATGCTGATGCTGACGATGATGATGACGACGCTGATGATGTTGCTGCTGCTGCTGATGATGATGATGATGATGATGATGATGATGCTGATGATGATGATGATGACGATGCTGCTGATGCTGCTGCTGTTGACGATGATGATGCTGATGATGATGATGATGGTGGTGGTGGTGATGATGATGATGATGATGATGATGATGATGATGATGATGATGATGATGGTGATGATGATGATGATGATGATGATGATGATGATGATGAGATGATGATGATGATGATGATGATGATGATGATGATGATGATGATCATGGATCATGACGCCGAAGAGGAGGAGGAGGAGGAGGAGGAGGAGGAGGAGGAGGAAGGAGGAGGAGGAGGGATAGAGGAGGAGGGGAGGGAGGAGGAGGAGGAGGAGCGAGGAGGAGGAGGAGGAAGAGGAGGAGGAGGAGGAGGAGGGAGGAGGAGGAGGAGGAGGAGGAGGAGGAGGAGAGGGAGGAGGAGTGAGGAGGAGGAGGAGAGAGGAGGAGGAGGAAGGAGGAGGAGGAGGAGGAGGAGGAGGAGGAGGAGGAGGAGGAGGAGGAAGGAGGAGGAGGAGGAGGAGGAGGAGGAGAGGAGAGGAGGGAGGAGTAGGAGGAGGAGGAGGATGGAGGAGGAGGAGGAGGAGGAGGAGGGGAGGAGGAGGAGGAGGAGGTAGGAGGAGGAGGAGGAGGAGGAGGGGGTGGGAGGAAGGAGGAGGAGGAGGAGGAGGAGGAGGAGGAGGAGGAGTAGGAGGAGGAGGAGGAGGAGGGAGGAGGAGGAGGAGGAGGAGGAGGAGGAGGAGGAGGAGGAGGAGCAGGAGGAGGAGGGAGGAGGTGGAGGAGGAGGAGGGAGGAGGAGGAGGAGGAGGAGGTGGGGGAGGTGGAGGTGGAGATGGAGGCGGCGCAGGAGTATCATGAGTTTTCGGGAGTCCGCCAAGAGGTGCTGGAGTGCCTGCACCAGGTCAAGAAGGTGCACCCGCACTTCAACTGCTCGGAGCTCGAGGCCGCCCTGGAGCTCTGACGCGGTACCAACCTGGCAGACCTCGGCGAAGGAGCTTTTCCCCGTTTTAGGCTCTGCGCAGCGCGGCAGGCTCGCGCCTCCCCTCCCTGGCGCGGCGGCGGCGAGGGCGTGGGCGCTCAGAGGTCGATCGCCCTCCCTGCGGGGGCCCGTTTCGGGCCCAAGGGGTGCCCATGGAGAGCAGCCCACGGCGCGGAGCCCGCGCGCAGGGCCGGGATGCGGCAGGCTTTGGGGGGACCCCAGGACCCTGAGGCAGCGGAGGGTCGGTCAGAGGTCCAGTGGCCTGCGCGCGTGGCAGGGGGCCGCAGCCCACGCCGCTGGAGCGGCGGGAGCCTGCCGGGAGCACCGACTGATGACTGGGCCGCCGGGCGCAGCTGCTGCCCTCTCCAGCGAGGCGGGGGCTTTTTTTTGCTCAGCGCCACCGCGGCGGGTGCCTCCGCCACATGAAAGACGTGCCCTTCGCTGGAGTGACCTTTTGGGTGCGGGCCCATTCGGGCCCCCCCGGTCATTGAGGACATTGCGACAGCAGCGGCTTGGGCGCTTGGGTTTGGCCCCCCCAAAATTACCACCCACCAAACCACCCAACCCAACCCGAGGGCTTCAATTTGCCCTCCATTCCCAGTGTGGGGGGGTCGGGGAACCTGGAAACAAAAACACACAAGAAGCCCGTACCTCCCCTCCAACCCGAAATTCGGGTCTTCGGGTTGGGTTGGGTGGTCTGGTAGGTAGTCACAAAAGCCGCGCTCCAAAGGTCACTCTTGCCCAGGGTCGCTCTTGCGTGTGTCCGATGCCGGGTCAGAAGGGGGTGCTTCGGTAGTGCGTCGGGAAAGTGGCAGGAAGGCGGCAGGAGCGCCACCCCTCAGGGGGGGGCGCCGGCGCAGGGGAGTGGCAGGAGGGCGCCCCGCCTTCCCGCATCTGCTGGAAGGTCCCTGTCTGCCGAGTGCCCGCCAGGGTGGCGCTGATCTTCTTCGCCCCTCGGTCCACATTTCAAGGACGTTTCAAGGCGGGCCTCGTGTCGGAAGGCGCCAACTGCGGTCGGGGACTCTGGGACGAAGCGTCGCTCCGCCGCTCCTGGCCCACCACGCTTCGGCGCGACGCGCTATCCGCTTCCGGGTCCCCAGGCGTCGACGCTGCGAGCCTTTCTCAGCCTGCCGCCACGCGGAGCGGAGCGGCACGCTACCCACTTGCCGGGCATGGCGTGCCGCCGGGGCCGCCGTGGCGACACGGTATTCAAAGTTCCCGCCCGTGTGCACTTGCGCCGATCTTGGGCGGGCCGATCCTGGGGTCACGGTCGGTGTGCACGCCCTCCTGCCTTGGACAGGAAGGCGTATTCACTGGTCCTAGATCGGCCTGATCAGGATCAGAGTAGCTGCACAGTTGGCGCCTTCTTGCTCTTGCTCATAGTTAGGTGCTTTCCAGCCTGTTCCTCCGCTGTGTTGCGGCCTTCCCTCCCGCATAAGTCGGCGCCAGTGCGGGCCGCGGCCGCGCCTGGCTTTGAAAGCACCTTCTCGAGGTCACGGTGGCGGTGGGATGTCGAACATGGTCCTCCGCGTTCTGCCACTTGCATCTCTGCTCCACTGCCACCTCTAGCCCTCCTCCTGCCCCACCTTCACCTTCCACGTCTTTTCTTCTCCGCCTCCGCCACCACATCCTCCGCATCCCTGTACGGCCCCATCTTCTTCTTCTCCTCCTCCTCCTCCTCCTCCTCCTCCTCCTTCTTGCCCCCTGTCCTGCCGTCTTCTGCCTCCCCCTGCTGTTGTTACTGCTGTTGCTCCGTCCCGGCCCCTCCTTTACCCACCAATGCTGACTATGAATACTATTCTCCTCTCTCCCCCGAAGATGTTCGGGGGTTTGCCCGCCACCCCCCGCGCAGTGTTTCTCTCAACCAGCCTGTGGTGCTGGGTTCTCGTTTTGAATCAGCAGCGCTCCGCGTCACTTTGCTCCCCCTCCACCTCCCACTCCCCCTTCCTCCTCCTGCTTCTGGCCTCCGCATGTCCTAATTGTTCTCACCATCACCACCATCATAATTATCACCATCATCATCATCATCACCACCACCATTATAACCATCATCCTCATCATCCACTATCATCCACCACCATCATCAGCATCATCAGCATCATCATCATCAACATCACCAGCATCATCGTAATTATCATCACCATCATCATTTTCCTCCTCCTCTTCCTCATCAGCATTATCATTATCATTATCATCTTCATTGTCATTATCAACATCATCGTCCGCGTCCGCGTCAGCGTCAGCAACAGCACCAGCATCAGCATCATCATACAACTTCTCTGCAATATCATCATCCAGCATTCTCATCATTAACATCAACACCATCAGCATCAACATCACCCAGCATCACCACCATCATCATCATTATCACCATCATCATCATCATCATCATCGCCATCAGCGTTCATCGTCGTCACTCTTCTCATCGCCATCACAGTCGCTCTCGTCATCATCACCGTCATCAGACTCACACTCACAACCCTCACCTTTTTCCTCCTCATCATCACCATCTTCATCGGCACCATCACGGCATTCACCATGTTCATACTCATCATACCCATCATTATTAGCAACATCAACACCATAACCATCACCATATCCAGTAGCACCACCAGCATCACCATCATCATTATCAGCATCAACGGCAGCATCACCATCATCATCACCACCATCATCATCATCACCGCCATCTGCAGCATCATCATCCATGGCCATATTCAAAATCATTACCATCACCATCACCATCATCACCAGCATCATCGTCAGCATCATCATCATCATCATCATCATCATCATCATCATCATCATCATCATCTTCACAACCCCCACCACCATCATCATCATCAGCAGCAGCATCATCATCATCATCATCATCATCATCATCATCGCCATCATTCTCACCACGACTATCCCCGTCATCATCATCACCGTCTTCATCACCACCACCATCCTCCTCCTCCTCCTCGCCATTCTCATCATCACCACCATCAGCATCCTCGACCGTATCATCAGCATCATCATCATCATCACCATCATCATCATCATCAGCATCATCATCCTCATTCTCATCCTCATATTCATGTTAATCATGACCATGCCATGCTAGTCATCATCATCACCACCACCACCATCCTCATCACCACCGTCATCATCATCCTCGTGCTGGAGAATCAGGCTGCCATGTATCGGGTCGCTGTTCGATCCAAGGTTTTTGACAGCATTCGGAGGCGATTTCACGAGCTTGAGGAAGATGACTGGGATGTTCTAATGGTCAAGCGGTTCCCGACATGGGGTGCCGAGTCCATTGTTTTCCATCTGATTCACAACTACGAGCGTCTAACAGCCCTGCCGTGGAACCACTTCGATGAGGACACTCACGAGTTGCAGAAACAGATTTTGAAGAAGTTGATTTCTGAGGCCCCCAGGTGCTCCGCGGTTTTTCTCCTGGGCAACCGAATTCGTTTCGCTTTTCCTCTGGTTAATGCCTCTAGTATCGACCTTGCTGTGCTCAGGCTCAGAATTGCCTGCACGCGCGTCGGCCCTTTTGTGGCTGCTGCCATTCTCAAAACCATCTGCAACGCGTGGGCGACCTCTGCCAGGTATAGGCAAGGCCGTCTTACCTGTCGCTTCGGCTGCCGAGCCGCTGGCGGCGACCACGTCCAGCATTATTTCGATTGCCCTCATGTTCTGAGCCTGCTTCCCTCTGTCCTGCCCTCCCTGCCAGCCGAATATTTGAATCAGAGCCTCGATGCGCGTATGCTGTGCACCATGCCATGCCATTCTAGTCAGCAGTTGTTTTCTTTGTTTCTCGTCCACGACCTGCTCTTTTCCACCTTTAACTCCTTGAGGAGCTCGCACAGGTACGGGCCCGAATGCCTGCTGCCTCTCCTGCGCGCCCGCGCCCGGCACATCGCCAAGAAGGGGCGCGTCGTGCGGAGCGTCCTCACCAGGAGGCCCGCTGCAGAAGGCAGCTGAACGGCCCGTCTCTCTGACTCGCCCAGGGGAGTGCGATCATCATCACCATCCTCATCCTCATGATCATTCTCCTCATCATCATCCCTAATCATCATCACCATCATCATCATCAGCGTCCTTCTCCTCCTCATCGCCATCACTATCACCATCACAATTACCATCACCATCATCATTATTATCATCATCATCATCATCAGCCGCAGCACCATCATCGTTATCATCATCGTCATCATAATCATCATACTCATCATCATCATGATGATACGTCCCGCACATGTTTCGAGGCCCCGTATGGAGCTCCACCGACGACCCCAGTCGCAGGGCTCGCACGCGTGACCCCGCCCATGTTGGCACACCCCTCACACCATTCGTGGCTCCATGAGGAGTTCCACTGATGGCCTCATTGGCAGGGCTCGCATGCGTGACCTCGCCCATGGCACACTCCCAATGCGTTTCGTGGCTCCATCGGGGGCACCACCGACGGCCGCACGGGCAGGTTTCGTATGCGCGACCCCGCCCATTTCTGGCACCTTCACACGCTTCGTGGCCTCACAGGGAGCCCCACCGAATGCCTCGTGGGCCTGGCTCGCATGCGGCTCCCCGCCCAGTTTGGTTCACCCTTCGCACGTTCCGTGGCCAAATCGGGAGCTCCACCGAAGGTCCCAGTGGTGGCGCTGGCCTTCTGCGTGACCATTTCCATATTGGCACACCCCTCACGCGCTTCGTGGCTGCATCGGGAGCTCCACCGAAGGTCCCAGCGGCAGGGCTCACGTGCGCGACCGCGCCCATTTTCGCACACCCCTCACAAGATTCCTGGCTTCACAGGGGGCTCCACTTGGAGGCTCCAGTGGCAGGGCTCGCATGCGTGATCGCGCCCAGTTTGGCCCAACCCTTATACGCTTCGAATCACCACCGGGAGCTCCACCGAAAACCCCAGTGGCAGGGCTCGCATGCGTGACTGCGCCAAGTCTGCCATACCCCTCACGCGTGACGTGGCCCCATGGGGA